CCGCGGCTGCGGCCCACCTTCCTCTTCCCGCCCACTCAGCAAGGGGATCCCCCGGCCGTGGCGGCAGGAGACCTGGAGTGGGGGTGGGCGGGCGAGGCTGGCTCGGAGGGTCCGGCTCTGGAGAGCCGCGCTTTTCCGGTGCCCAGGAAAGGAGGCCAGACTCGCTTGCAGGAATGAGGCACTGTCGGCTGCGGAGCCACGCGGGCCCCGGGCTGGGGACTCAGGAGGAAGCCGAGGGTTAGCACCTGCTTGTGGGGCAAGGCCGTGACGCCACCTCCCAGGACTGGTGAGGACCAGGCTGGCCTGCGGGATGCCCTCCCGGCCAGCGAGGATCCGCCAGCCTGCGGCGCTGAGCTAGCGCAGGGCAGCTCCAGAGACACTCATCTGACCCAGGCCGGACCTACCCTTGAGGCCCAGTCAGATCCACCTCACCTGGGCCCTGTAGTGAGGTGAAGGTGAGGACGCAGGGGCGGGGAAGGGCAGAGACGGCCCAGGTCACACCGAGCCTAGAAACAGAAGAGAAGCAGCCCAGACTGGGCCAAAGGTCCCTGCCTCCCAGCCCAAGGCCTCGGCCGCTCCTGCTGCCCCTCGGCCTGAGGGACCCAGAGGCTTGGGCTGCAGAGGCCAGAGGAGGCTTCCCCAGGACGGGAGCAGGCGGGGCCTCTACACCGCCTGAAAGACAAGGAAGAGGGTCCCCAGGCCAGGTTTGGGGTGCGGGTCAGCAACGGGGACGTCCCCAGGCTTCTGGGGAGAGCTGGGGCAGGCGAAGCGCAGCTGGCCCTAGACGCAAGCCCTGCCCCCTCCGCCCTACGACATGGCTGGCCTTTCGGTTCTGAGACCTCACAGGCCCCGCATCCCAGCCCGGCCAGGGGCCGCCCCCTTCGCGCCTGCTGCAAAGTGGGAATTTTTGTCCCAATAATTCCAGCCTCACAGAGTCAGGGAGCCACGAGGCAAGGCCACCAGGGAGTGCGGGCTGCTGGGGACCAAAGGGCAGCCCCCCAGGGCAGGGTCCAGACCATGCCAGGCCTTCTGGAACGGGCAGTGACAATTGTGCCGGGATTGCCGCCTGGGCTGAGGGTCTGGCGCCACGGGCCCAGCAAAGGCATCTTTCTTCCAGCTCAGGACCCCAAAGGGAGGGGTGGGAACCCTGGGAAGCCTCGGTGCTGCCTCACAGCCTCACAGCCCAGCCTGGCCGGGCCCCAGCAGACAGTCTCTGGGTGTGGCCAGTGCTAAGCCCCAGGCCCCAGGCCCCAGTTTCCCGCACCGACACCAGGCCTTTCTTCCACCCCAGACAGCCCAGAGGAGGGAGAGGCACGCACAGTGCACATCACGCCTGAAAAGGAAGGAACAAAGGGAGCCCAGAGGCAGGGTGCTGTGACCCCCACTGGCCTGCAGTGCCCCCACGTCCTTCCAGGCCCAGCAGGGCTTTCTGGTGTTCTGGACTCTTTTCATGGACAAAAAGCCTGGGCCAGGGAGCAGGAGGCCTGCCAGGTCTGAGAGGATGGGGAGGGAGAGGGGATCTGGACTCTGCCCTGGGGAGACAGGCTCATGGCCGAGTGCCCAGCTTCGCCTGGGGAGGGAGAGGCAGGGAGCCGAGAGCGGCCAGGACAAAGGCTGAGGCTGAACTCTCTTTGAGACAGAGTGAGGGCGGGGGAACGCCCCTTCCTGGCATGGACTGGGGCCCCTGGAAGGCGGACTTGGGAGAGCCTCAGAGGGAAGCTGGCAGGGGCTGAAGGGGTGGAGGGGGGCTCTGGGTGGGGCAGCCCTTGGCCTTCAAGACCCTCTAGGGGACGGGGGCTCCAGATGTGCTGCACATGTCCTGGCCCAGGCTGAGCTGGAAACATGTGGATGCAGAGAGGTTAGGGGAGAACCCCTGGGGGAGGAAACTCAGAGCCTCCCTCCCAAACAGGGCTTAGACCTCCCAGGGAGGGGGCTTTCCTGAGGCCTGCTGAGATCTTGGCTGCCCTGCCTCAGTCTCCCCATCAGAAACTGGTGCTGTGTGGCTCACATCTGTAATTCTAGCACTTTGGGAAGCTGAGGCAGGTGGATCACTTGAGGTCAGGAGTTCAAGACCAGCCTGGCCAACATGGTGAAACCCCGTCTCTACAAAATACAAAATACAAAAATTAGCCGGTGGTGGGCTGGGCGCGGTGGCTCACTCCTGTAATCCCAGCACTTTGGAAGGCTGAGGTGGTGGATCACGAGGTCAGGAGATCAAGACCATCCTGGCTAACAGGGTGAAACCCTGTCTCTACTAAAAATACTAAAAAATTAGCCAGGCATGGTGGCAGGCACCTGTAGTCCCAGCTACTAGGGAGGCTGAGGCAGGAGAATGGTATAAACCCGGAAGGTGGAGCTTGCAGTGAGCCGAGATCACGCCACTGTACTCCAGCCTGGACGACAGAGCGAGACTCCATCTCAAAAGTAAAAGAGAAAAGAAACTTGTGCTGGGGCCGAAACACCGTAATTATTTAATTGGGAAAAGCCTTTCACTCACTGCTCCCTTTCTTCAGGTACTCATTAAGTCATTCAACAAACGCTTGCTGAGTACCTCCTGTGGGCCCAAAGCATGCCAGGCTCCATGCACGCACAGGGAGCTCCATGGGGAGGGCACCGACTGGCCTAGGGAGAGCAGAATTCGCAAAGGCCCCCGGGAGGCGGGGAAGCCCGTGCTGTCCTTTTGGAGGTCAGAGACACAACAGAATGGGAGGTGCACATATGCACAGTTGGTAAGAGCAATGCCAGAGCGGCGGCAGGACCCCATCAGTGGTCTCTGATGTGCTGGATGTGCTGTTTCGGGACTTGCTTCTTTCACTCACGTTACACGTTTGGGATTCACCCTGTTGACAGTGAAAGGTGTGGCTTGTCTGTTCCTTGCTGTGTTCTGTCCTGTGAGTGAGAGCATGCAGATGGCGTGTCACTGCAGCTGGTGAACACACGGTGTCTGGCTTTAGGCTTTGCTGAGATTGCTGCTCTGCACATGTGCACTTTTTTTTTTTTTTTTTTTTGGGAGGTGGAGTCTGGCCCTATCGCCCAGGTTGGAGTGTGGTGATGCAATCTCAGCTCGCTGCAACCTCCACCACCTCCCGGGTTCAAGTGATTCGCTCGCCTCAGCCTCCCGAGCAGCTCGTATTACAGGCACCCATAACCATGCCCGACTAATTTTGTATTTTTAGTAGAGATGGGGTTTCACCATATTGGCCAGGCTCATCTCAAACTCCTGACCATAGGTGACCCGCCCGCCTGGGCCTCCCAAAGTGCTGGGATGACAGGTCTAAGCCACTGCGCCTGGCCTCTCCGCCTGCCTCGGCCTCCTAAAGTACTGGGGTGACAGGTGTGAACCACCGCGCCGGCCGCACGTGCGCTCTTGTGAGCACTTCTCTGGGGAGCATCCCGGAACCGAACTGCTGGTTGTCAGGCAAGTGTGTGTTCCGCTTCTCTAGCAAGCGCCAAATTCTTTTCTGAATGATGGCTCCAGCTAGCACCATGAGCATTTTGTCTTAATTTTATCTTATCTTATTTATTTACTTTGAGACAGACTCTTCCTCTGTTGCCCAGGCTGGAGTGCAGTGATGTCATCTCGGCTCACTGCAACCTCTGCCTCCTGGTTCAAGCAATTCTCCTGACTCAGCCTCCCAAATAGGTGGGATCACAGCCGTTCGCCACCAGGTTTTTGCATTCTAAGAGAGACGGGGTTTCACCATGTTGCTCCTAGGCTGGTCTCGAACTCCTGAGCATCCGCCCATCTCGGCCTCCCAAAGTGCTAGGATTACAGGCATAAGCCACCGTGCCCAGCCTAATTTTTGTATTTTTAGTAGAGACAGGGTTTTGCCATGTTGGCCAGGCTGATCTCGAACTCCTGACCTCAAGTGATCCGCCTGCCTTGGCCTCTCAAAGTGCTGAGATATAGGCGTGAGCCACCAAACCCAGACCCCTGTATCCTTTTATTCAAGACCGGGGCCTCACTATGTTGCCCAGGCTGGTCTTAAATTCCTGGCCTCAAGCAGTCCTCCTGCCTCAGCCTCCTGAGTAGCTGGGGACTAAAGGTGTGTGCCACCCGCCTGGCTTTGGCCCTCTTTGATTTTGAAACTGGCTCAATTGTCTCGTGGAACCGATGTTTATGGTTTCTTTGAATAAACACAGAGATTGATCCTCCTAATCTTAAAATTTGAGAAAGTGACGTTTGTCCTATTTGAGTTCCTTTCTCAGAAAACCAACCATGA